GAAGGAAGGAAGGAAGGAAGGAAGGAAGGAAGGAAGGAAGGAAGGAAGGAAGGAAGGAAGGAAGGAAAGAAGGAAATGCGCGCCCGACAAATGCGCCCTGACAAAACCGCCGCGACAAAACGGCGATGTTGAAAGCACGCCCACTAAAGCGTGCCGACAAAACCGCGCCCACAAAAGCGCGATTAGGGTTTTTAGGTTAGGATTAGGGTAAGGGTTAGGGTAAGGGTTAGGGTAAGGGTTAGGGTTGTTAACGTTGTTACCGCTGTTTTCTCATTGTTTTTGATGGCGTGCTTTTGTCGGCACGCATTTGTTGACGCGCTTTAGTGGGTGCGCTTTTAACGTCGCCATTTTATCCACGTGCATTTGTCGGTGAACCAGGTCATCGTATATACGATGTATATCGTATTGTAAATACTATTTTTTATATATTTTGGTCAACTACTAAATTACAGAATAGGTTTGATGGAGGTTAGAGCAAGATACCAATTTAGTATCTTCCTCAAGTGTGCAGCTTCAATTTTTTTTTAAATTGAAAATGCAACATTTAAATCGATGTGTATTTAATATAAATAAATAACACAATAAAGAAAATCAAGCACAGATACCAAAATATGGGGGCGTAAATAAGCAACCTGAAATATCATAAAACTAATATATTCCGATCCTTTGTTATAAGCCTACGGTTGTATGAGACATTTCACACTTTCATTTGTATGAGAGCATTCCATTTTCTAGCTTTGATTAGAAATTAAAGAGTTTCGATTCTAATGAGAATGATGGCAGGAAACATCTAATACGCCAGATCAGGGAAGGCTGGTTTACAATCTGGCACATGTCTTAACTTATTCCCAACCTCCCAAAAATCCAACTCTTAATCTGATAGGGTTTTCAGTATGCTGTTTTGTGTGCACATTGTACTGTGGGTAGAAAGTGCCCGATTACATCCGATGCTCCTATTTACCTAAGCACTGCTCTTCTGGGTCGCCCCAGTGGTTTTCTTGGCAATGAGAACAAACACGACCTCCAAAACCTGGCTGGCAGTGGCATTGCCCTGTAAACTGAGTTAAAAAAAAAAAAGCAATTTAGAATGAGGGCAAGTGATATAGCCGAAGCCCCAAAGTCACTGGGCCTATTTTAGCACCTCTCATGTGGGGTTAACTTTCCAAGGTCTTAATCCCTCACCATGTTACAGTCTGCACGCAAGGAATGGGTCGGGTCGCAGTTACATGGCTGGCAGCCCAAGTCGCTGCCGAAACCCCAGAAGTTCTGGGCACATCTGTCGCAGTTCTTTTCCACCACATTGGCACGGCAGGGGCAATGGCCTGTAGTTTGATCACAATGGCAGATGCCTTCGGAGCAGTGGGTGGGCAAAGTGCCTATTTCGTTACAAGTGCAGCCTGGGAGATAAAAAATAAGGATTAGCATTGGTAAAGCAACAACCTCCCTGCCTGCCTGGCTCACAGCTTTTCCTGCCAAGAATTTTCTTTGGAATCCACCGTTGGAAGAAATGTCCTTCTGGGTTCGGCTCCAAGTGGGGGGAAAGACACTGGAAACATGGAGGCTGCTTGGAAAGATGGTTTAATGGTGGATTGGATGGATCACATGGCTTGAGCTCCTGAACAGAAAAGGGGGACCACATGCTTCCAGATGCTGAGTGAAGAGGAAAAGAGGCCGAGATGCTGAAAGTCCCTGGTTTTATGCTCTCTCTGGCCTTTGATCTTGAGCTTGTATTCTGATTGGTTG